ACACTGTCCCAGAGCGCAGTGGTGATTATGTGCACACTGTCCCAGAGCATCCCGTTGGTCACATGTACACTGTCCCAGAGCTTAATGGTAAGGATGCTTTCTTACAGTTAAGACTCTGATCACTACTCTAACATGTGAGGTTGATGCAGAACAAGGAAGTATGTTTCATATTGGACCTGGGATCGTGGCAAAGGTCTCAGGTACTTCAATAACAAACCCTGTCTGAACATTACTCACGTTTTGTGTGGGTTCCTGAAATGACGGTGGCAGTGGTGACGAATGCTGCGAGTCTGACTTGTGCTGCACTGGGTAAGGCTTGCGACCAACTTTCAGATCACTGGTGCTTGACTGCTACAAGGAGAAATGGAATATCTTCAGTAAAGAGAATCAACTTTCTATACTATCTGCTGAGGACATAAAAGTGGCTGAGTGATAGGAAACACAGGGCAATGGCTTAATGGCTTTTCTTTTGGGCTGGAGCAACGTTGGTTGTGGAGTTCCCCAGGGTCGGCATTGGGATCCTTGCTTTTCTGATATATAAATATATATAAAATCTCCATCTTAGTGGCAGAGGACAATTTCAAAGTTTACAGACAACACAAAACTTGGGAGAATTGTAAATTGTGAGGAGGACAATGTAGTACTTCAGAAAGATATTGGTAAGTTGGATGGTTTGCAAACGAAGTTCAATGCAGAGAAATGTGAGGTGATACACTATGGTACAAAGGGGTTGCAGGAGCTGAGAGACCAGGTGAAAATATACAATAAATCATTAAAGGCAGCAGGCGAGGTCAAGTGTTTGCTTAATAAAACATAGAGTATGCTAGGCTTCATTCATCAGGGCATAGAGTACATGAGCAGGAAGTTATGAACTTATATCAGACACTGGTTATACCTCAGTGCTGTATTGTGGGGCACCACACTTTCGAAAGGACACGAATGCATTGGAGAGAATGTAGAAGAGGCTTTCGAGAATGGTTCCAGGATTGAGACACTTCAGTTGTGAGGAAAGATTGGAGAAAGTGGGACTGCTCTCTCAGAGAGCTGAAGGCAGAAGGAAGATTTGACACAAGTTTTCAAAATCTTGAGGGATTTGCACACAGTGGATCGGCAGAAATTGTTACTGTTCATAAATGGAGCAAGAAGCAAAGTTTTAAAGTGCTGTGTAAAAGAAGCAAATACGAGGTGAGAAGAAAAATCTTTTTTGACGATGATTGGCATACTCTTGACCCTACATTCTTAGCACAAATCAGAGTATCTCATGCCACCTACTGACAGAGGACATTGGTGCCACAGATGTCAGTGATGGGCACTTAGAGCACACTATCCAAATGCGCATATGTGGTGCCACTGATGTGGAAGGAGCAGGGTGGACCAATGTTGGGATTGGGGCAGTTAGATCCCAGGATTCGAATTCACTTCTAACATTTGAAAATTCCTCACGTTATTGCTCTTAGTCTTTTGATGCAGACGCCAGGACATCTCAAGCACTGGGATGGCATGGGCAGTGAGTGTGCCCCCTGCAGTTATGGTGGCAGCATACATGATATATCCTAATAGGGCTGTAGGAGCTGGCAAATAGAAGCATGGGTCCTTTTAAATGGGTAAATTGGTCTTTGAATGGATTTTTAAATGGGTCTTTGGTAATAGTAAAGGGAAATGGCCTCTCAAGCTTATTCTGCATTTGGCTACTTCTTGCCGAGTTGCGCGGTCTGATTTGTCAGAGCAGCATGATGCTCTGGTGCGTTATGACCAGATTTATAATGTCACTAAAATGAGTTCCATCAACAGGAAACGCCTGTCAAACATTTTGGCTTGATAATGTTGGCGATGTTTCTTTAACATGGGTGTTACTTGCTGCAACATTCCCACTTTTAAAGTTACTAAAAGGAAGGAAAGAAAACTTGCATTTACTTAGCACCTTTCACAATCTGACCACATCCCAAAGAGCTTTCCAGACAACTATGTATCCGCGAGGTTTGATCACTGCTTAATCGCCACAAAGAGCCATATGACAATGACCAGATAATCTGTTGTGAGCAATACCGATCTTGGGATAGATTTTGGTTGAGGCACTGGGGAAAATTTCCTCAAATAGTAACATGAGAACAATTTACATCCATTTGAGATGTCAGTCAGGGTCTCAGCTCATCAGCCCCTCTCAAAGACTGCACGTTGGACATGCACCGCTTCCAAAGCACAGTGTTAAAATGTCAGTATCAGGTCCTGTGCTCAATTTTCTCCAGTGGGATTTAACTCAATGGAAGTAGCACCCACTGAACCAATGTCTAATAATGATGAGACTTAATCATTTCTGCTCTTCTGTGTTTTTGCAGTCATTGCTATGTGTCAATTATTTCTGTTCAATAGCCTTATGAGATCTTTAAAACTGCTGGCCTAGAGGAGACACTGAGCTCAACCAATGCGAAAACGTCAGAGTTCCTCGCTCTCTCTTTCCCTGCCCCCCACCCCCCTCAACCCCCCAGTGACCAGAGGAAGAAATCAGCTGAAAATTATTGGGAGATAGCAAGAACTGATGAAGGGTGTAAACCCGAAACATCAACTTTCCTGCTCCTCTGATGCCTGTCTGACCTGCTGTGTTCCTCCAGCTCCACACTGTGTTGAAGCTGAAAAACATTGCTAGCAATTAAATGCCATTGAGCAGTGCAAGGGGCAAGATCCAAATTCCGCATCTTTCAAACTTCTACATCTCCTTTTAGTCACTATGCAAATATAATCGTGCTGCGTGGAATGAATTACTTGATGGGAGTGGTGTGGGGAGCTGCTGGATTGAGTCATAGATGATATTTGCTGCAGTGACTCTTTAAACCAGGAATGTCTGCAGACTCAGCTTGATTTTTAAAAAAGTATCTGAGTTGACACCCTCAGTTAACACCTGTCAGCATGTTTACTGACACTAACACACACAACACAAATGTGAAACAGAACTTGAAAACCCAGGAGCAAAATTAATTCTGCTGCACTATAAATGTCTGAGTGGAGCGGTTATAAGGAAGTTATGTTATTTATGAATCATTTCCATTGATTGAATACCAATGCATGCTGAATTAATGCTGAATCCAAGTTTAATTCCCTCTGCTGCACTACTTTTGCACAAACCATAGTTTGGTACCAGGCAGCGCACACCCACTCCCTTATAGTGCAAGTATGGTTATAAGCCACTGCAAGGAGCTCATGTGGTGCGGTGGTAGTGTCCCTACCTCTGAGCCAGGAGGCCTGGGTTCGAGTCCCACCTGCTCAGAGATGTGTCGTGACATCTCTGCACAGATTAATTAAACAACATTACTGGGGCCTTGGCATGTTACTTCCTCAAGTCATATTGTACAGTCACTACAGAAAGCTTATTCTTCTTGTAATCAAGGCTTCACCTCTACACTTCCTTCCTGTCAGAACCATATCATCTTCATGAATTCCATCCATGGAATAAACTCACAAACACTCTGGAACCAACCCAGAGATTCATATGGGCAAATACCAATTGCATTCACTCCTCTGACAAATTTCTTTCAATGATGGTTCGTCTGTAAAGTGTTGGTTCCAAAGCTAATTGACCGCCTTTAAGTTATCACCAACCTCCCCACCAAAGAACATCCCCTGCTCCCTTTCTACAGTGATGGGACCACAGCTGGTTTTTATCACAGTCTATCTCTCCAGCTCCTCTTAATCACAGCAGTTGAGATCAGTGTATTCCGCGCTTCAGGGTAGAGACCTTTTCAGTCCCAAACCCCTGAAGGGGCCCAGTGGGACCATTCATCTGTGCAGCTGTCAGCCACTCTCAGATCTGGAGCAGGCATTCGTCTCTCGAGGACTCCACTCACTGACCTCCCACACGCCTGCTGCAGTCTAAGTACTTGCGCAGCTAATAAACTTAGCAGTCCCTGAGCGGTTCAGAGTTGGAACCTTTCCCTGGGTCTGTAGGAACTGCAGTTCAAAAATCATTGCAGACTTCACACCTTATTATAACATTGCCTCATTAAGCTCGCATTATCTCCTTCCTTTCTCATTGCCCAATTACACTGTGATTCAGAAGTATCATCCAAGTGTTTTTTTTTCTCCTTGTTTAAAGGGACCTGTCTGGAGCTGATAAACAATGCTTCAACCAAAACAGGGCTTTGCACTCTTGCAGCTTCATTATGTGCCAGCCTTTGGAGAATTCAATCAGATCGCTCTTTCAAAGAGTATCACAAGTGTCATGGGCCGTATGGCCTCCTTTTGTGCTATGTGACTTACAATTGCACTCACCTGCTAAGGCGGCAGAAATGTGTGAGATGCAGACCACTACCACCAAAATGAAAAAGAAACACTAAAGTGGAGCATCAATTCCACTGCCTGATCTGACCTCAGGTTAGCAATAGTGAAGAGTAGACACAGGAAATCTGAGCTAAACAGGCTAAAATAAGGTCCAGAATTGAGGTAGTGACTGGGGTTGAGGGTGGGGGGATAGGTAAAGCCCAGGGTGGATGCTGGGCCAAATCTCTCACAACGGAATGTGATTAAACTGACGTTTAATAAAAACATATAAACTCACGTTTTCCCAGCCACCATCAGTTCTGAGGAAGGGTCACCGGATCCGAAATATTAACTCCATTTTTTCCTTCACAGATGTTGCTAGACCTGCTTGGCTTTTCCAGCAACTTTGTTTTTGTTCCTGATTCTTTTTTCAGTTTTTATTGAAATGTGATTAAAACCTGATTGTCCCTCTTATGCTAAAATACTTGTGCAGGCATTTGTTTACAAAAGTGCTTAACAACAATGTGAGCCTTCCAGTGCACTCCCAAAGGAATGGAAGCTTATGAAGAGGCTGGACAAAGCAATGTTTCCTTTCACACAGCCTGCCACAACATAGTGTCAAAATGTACCAGAGTGATCCCTGTCTTCTCCAGTCCTCTGGCTTCCTTCCATCTTCACAGAAGGGATGAATGGATGCAGGAAGGATGATCCAAAGTCTGGGGAGGCCACAACCCGAGGTTACAGTGTTAGGATACAGGGCGGGCTATTAAGGACTGAAATGAGGAGGAATTTCTTCATCTGGTTATGTGTGAGCCTGCGGAATTCTCTGCCACAGAAAGCAGATGCGATCAAAACATTGCATGTTTTCAAGAAGGAGTTAGATATAGATCTTAGGGCTAAAGGGATTAAAGGGTATATTCTGAAGCAGAAAGGGACTTGGGAGTCCCTAGTACAGGATTCTGTTATGGTAAACATGGAGGTTCAGGTGGCAGTTAGGAAGGCGAATACAATATTAGCATTCATTTCAAGAGTGCTAGAATACAAGAGCAGGGATGGACTGCTGAGACTATATCAGACTCTGGTCAGACCACAATTGGAACATTGAACACAAAATAGAAATCGCTGGAAACACTCAGCAGATCTGGCAGCATCTGTGGAGAGAACTTGACCCGAAAATTAACTCTGATTTCTCTCCACAGATGCTGCCAGAGCTGCTGAGCATTTCCAGTAATTTCTATTTTTGTCTCTGATTTACAGTATCCGCAGTTCTTTTGGTTTTTATTTGGAGTATTGAAAGTTGTTATGGAACACATTTTTAAGAAAGGTATTGGCGTTGGAGTTGGAGGGGGTCCAGAGGAGGTTTACAAGAAAGATCCCAGGAATAAAGTCCTGGTCACATTGAGGAGTGGTTGAGAACTCTGGGTCTGTACTTGATGGAATTTATAAGGATGAGGGAAGAGATCTCAACCCTATCCAGGCCTCTCTGTTTTGCTTCCTTCTGCTCGAACTAACTCTGCCCATGCTGCTCTATTTCTACTCATCAATGTATAACTCAGTGATTACAAGGTTGCTCTATGATACTAAGCCACAACAACATAAATTTTGGGCAGTCTTTCCACTAACCTTCCGATTGCCATGCACCTTATCATCACTGCGATCTCCCGCCAATCACTTCTAACCCACCCTTCTTCTTTGAGAACACTACAATCTGAAATTCAAAATAATCTTCCTGAACAAGCTGCCTAGAGATACCCAGCAGATATCTACAGCTCAATACCTCCACACAAAGCCTTGTCTGGAAATCACGGGCAATGGAAAAAAATCAAGAAAGTGGGCATGAGGAGTGTTGGATCAGCCATGATCCTATTGAATGGCAGAGCAGGCTTGAGGACCAAACAGCCTACTCCTGTTCCTATTTCTAACAGTCTTATGGCTTGGGGAGGCCTTGGGGCCTACACTTTTCTGCACTGGAGGTATTCCCTGTGCCCTGTATCTGTTGGCCCTAGCCCATTTTCTTCAATGGAAGAAAGGTGAAGCAACACCATGTAAGGGAGATAGCAAGAACTGCAGATGCTGGAGTCAGAGACAACACAGTGTGGAGCTGGAGGAACACAGCAGGGAAGTTTCCTGCTCCTCTGATACTGCCTGACCTGCTGTGTTCTTCCAGTTCTACACTGTGTGGTCACCATGTAATGGAGGTTCTTTTAAAATAAATAACAGTTAAGTAAATATCGAGTTACTGACTTAATAATGTAATGTGGGTTGGAGGAAGGGAAGGAAAAATAAGTCTGCAAATGTTTATGTTCAGGTGGTGTGTTCA